TGAATTCCACGTGAATTCGACATGAAAAAAACCCTTGCCATTTCGAAATTCCATGGCAATTTTTCCATGGGTTCCCTGACTCAAAATAAAAATTCAATTTTAATTTTAGCATGGTTTGTCAATTGTTTTTGGTTCATCATTTTTCTTATCTTGAAACAAGCTATTTGAAATAAATATTTTTGATGCTGTGGCATATCGGCACACTATGATTTTTTTCTTCGAAAACTAAAAATCCATTTTCTACACTGTATTTTTTTTAATTTTTATTTTTTTTGTTATTAATCTTTAATCGAATACAAGTTTTTTATCTATATTAGATCGTGGCTATCGAAAAATTAATAATCGAAATCGAAATTATTAAAATTTAAAATTCCTAAAAAAATATTGATTTTTCGATAGCCACAATCTAATATAGATAAAAAAACTTGTATTCGCTTAAAGATTAAAAACAAACAAAAAATTAAAATTAAAAAAAAAATACAAACAGAGTAGAAAATGGATTTTTAGTTTTCGAAGATAAAAATCATAGTGCACCGATATGCCACAGCATCAAAAATATTTATTTCAAATAGCTTGTTTCAAGACACGGAAAATGATTGGTCGTTCGTCGAACTCGCTTAATTGGAACCAAAAGCTGGCCATACACAGACGTTATTGCGCGCGGTTTATCGTGTTATCTGCAAAAACATATGGAAAATCATGTACGTGAGTGAGTATCGCCGCGCGAAATGATAGAACGGGAAGGGATTTCAGACGTGCTTTTCTCTGGAGTGTGGCGTGTCCACACGCCACATTCCGCGTCACGGTTTACCTTTGCTTGGCAAAATTTCACGTTGAAAATTTGTACATGATCACATGCAGTTTCAAACGACTCGATAAATGACACTTTTTGCCCACTCACATACGATTTTTCCTTTGAAACTGATATACCACGGGCAATCACTTGCTAAATCATTTGAATACTTTATCAAGTGTATGGAACATGACGCTTTTTTGCCATGCCGTTCTTTCGTGCATACTAACCGCTACATCCCAACACGCCACGATAAACTGCGCGAAATAACGCCTGTGTATGGCCAGCTAAAGTTATGATCGATGACATATTGGCAAAATCGTTATAATAATGAAAATTTAAAAAATCATATCTCCAAAAACAATTGACAAACCGTGATAAAATTAAAATAGAATTTTTATTTTGTGTCAGGAAACCCATGGAAAAATTGCCATGGAATTTCGAAATGGCAAGGGTTTTTTTTCGTGTTGAATTAACGTGGAATTCCCCATATACATACATGGTGAGTTTTAAGTTGACGCCTTCCTTTTAACAGCTTATAGAAATCAGATAGAAAAATAAATATTTTAAGTAATTTTTTTAACAAAACTACAAAATAAGAGAGTTGTAGCCCTTGAAGGGCTGCCCTTCCAAGTTTAATTAAATTTTGAGCCAGTCCTGGCTATTGTTAACAAAAAACATAACCATAAAAATAAAAATAACAAAATAAACAATGCAAAATGTCATCTATGACAAGAAACATAACCATTTAAATTAAAATGTCATTATTTACTTAAGTTTTTTTGTGCCTTAATAATTGTTAAAAATGGTTTATAATTATAGCAATAATGAATTAGTGTACGCCAATCGTTTTGTTGACATGATTTATCCGCCTCAGGTATTTTTAAACTATTTCTGTAGGCATTGCTAAATGTGTCATTTTGGTTTAAATGGTTGTGTTTGTTGTCATAGATGACATTTTGCAATATTTATTTTATTTTTATGGTTATGTTTTTTGTTAAAAATAGCCAGGACCGGCTCAAAATTTAATTAAACTTTGAAGGGCTATAACTTTCTTATTTTTGAGTTTTGATAAAAAAGTTACTTAAAATATTTATTTGTCTATCTGATTTCTACACGCTGTTAAAAGGAACGCGTCAACTTAAAACTCAACCTGTATATATAATATAAAAATTATTTAAATTAATAAAATCAAGTACTCGAATAGATACAAAATATTTTACTAGGTACCTAGTAAAATATTTTGTATCTATTCGAGTACTTGATTTTATTAATTTTAATAATTATTGCGGTCTAGGGTTCAAATATTAATTATTTTATTTATCTGAATATTTTAATCTAATAATATTCATAGGTTGCTTTCGTAAACATTTGTTTTAATTGATGAATTGAATAATTAGGGCTGTACAATTTAGCCGGTTAGCCGGCTAAAAAAGTTAGCTAAGTTAATTAATTAGCTAGCCAACTGATCAGCTTAGCTAATTTAACCGGTTAACTAAATTAGCTTAGCTAATTAGCTGGCGGCTTAACCGGTTAATCTAGCTTAGCTCAGCTAATTAGCTAAAGGCTAACTCATTGGTGGCTACTAAATGGAATTACCCCGTTACAAAATGACCTAAAACTGTTACAAAATTTCTTAACAGAGTCCTAAAACAATTGTTTACAAATATTGTTTAGGACTTTTGATTTTGCTTTATTAAGTTAAAACATTATAGCCAGTTATAACAATTTTAAGACAGTTTAAAGACTTTTCAGTCAGTTTCTGTTTTTTAATACAGTTTTAGTTAGTGATGCCGCGAGACGAGGGTCTCTCGTCTCGTCTCGTTTCTCTCGTGGTAAAAGTAGTTATGAGTGAGTGTGTGAGTGTATGAGTTGGGTTGGGTTGGGTTAGGTTCCAGCGCTTGAGAAGGTGCGACGCGTGTGGGAAGGCTCTTAAAACGTAAATGTTTAAAGATTGAAACCAACAATAATTTTTAAAAAGTGCAAACTAATAAAGTGAAACAAACAATTTTCATAGAGTGCAAGCTAGAGTGGTGTAGCGGTCATTGAGGAGTGAAGTGTTAAGTGATATGAATGAGTTAAGTGCCACCTGTCATTGGACGCTTTTCACTGGACAGACAAAGGAGGTCAAACAAGAGAGGAGGTGACCATCCGCAAAAAATTGATAAGTTACCTTAAGAATATGCATGACCTAATACAAAATCTGCAATTTAAATACGGCAGATATCTTTAAAACATATCGTCACGTCACATATATTCACGAAGTGGCGTATATGAAGATTTAAGTTATGCAAAAAAGCAATTTTTTGAAATAAAAGTTTAGCATACTAAACACTTATTCCAGAAATTTGCTTTTTTGCATAACACAAATCTTCCGATACGGGTGTTTGAAGTTTTGTGTTATGCAAAAAAAACCAATTTTCTGGGATAAACGTTTAAAATGCTAAACGTTTATTTCAGAAAATTGCTTTTTTGTATAACTTAAATCTTCATATACGCCATTTCGTGAATTTGGGGACGACATGAAAGGCACACGGAGTAGGGCAATAAATCTGTCAACAACAAGTGCGTAATGCAATCCCAAACGAAACCAAAAATAAACACTAGACTCACAGAATAAACTAACATTAATCATAATAACCCTAACACAGAAAAAAAAAGCCCAATAATCAAACTCTACTAGATTTGTAATCATTAGATAACAGAATAATTTGTTTAACTAATAAATAAATGCAATACCACAAAACGTGCTTGGGACAAATTTATTAAAAACAACTGACACACTTTACCAAGTGCAGGAACTATCTGACCAGGACACGGACAATGACAATAACGAACAAGACAAAGACCTCGACTAGGAAACTACACCCCTGCAGCGAAATAACAACTCCCCAACTCCAAATAGTAATCCCAAATGTTTGGAGTAATACTAATCGACTGGTCTAGGGGGATTCCGCGTCGTACTTAGTTTTAAGTCGGCGTAATTGTCCCCCAAAAACCAACACCCTCCCGTCCCTCCTCCTATACCCCACTGAGCGTATAGCATAGGCTCGGCGAACCCGAGAATAATGGCTATTAAAACTATTCGCCGTGCAGTTGCTGGGGAAGAACAAAAATCGGCGTAAGTAAACATAGGCCTGTACGGGGTTCGAAAGTCAAGAGGAAATGGGGCTGGTTATACGTCTCTTATACTCATACTCATAATGTTAAATTTAACTTAAATGTTAATTTGTGCTGCATAAATAAAAATTCTTCTTAAAAAGTTTTGGCCTTTAGCGGATTCCAGCTATTTCGAGAGTCAAGAGGAAATGGGGTTATACGTCTCTTATACTCATACTCATAATGTTAAATTTAACTTAAATGTTAATTTGTGCTGCATAAATAAAAATTCTTCTTAAAAAGTTTTGGCCTTTAGCGGATTCCATCTATTTGGCCAGCTCATTAGTTTTAAAAATTGTATGTATGAATACAAAAATTATTTGGAATGAAATACAAATTCGTTTATATTTTTTTCTATAGAAGTTTAAACTGGAATTAAAAAAAAATGTGTGCCAAGACCACACTGATAAAGTAAGACTTTTTACGCCGAAAATGTCGTGCATTTGAATCAAATGGTTGAATCTATGTGGAGTAGTTACATCTAGTATATATAAGCACAGTAGTTTTGATCCATCCATCTGAAAACTACTGTATCCGTCATTTTGAATTCCTAATTTTGTTTTTTTTAAAGGGTTATCAAATTCTTAATCAGAGACCCCATAAATATCTGAATACTAAATCTTACCCAAACCATTACCGGAAAAATCAAGGCAACGAGAGAGATCGAGAGAAACGAGAAATTCTCGAGCGAGAGAGGGCATTCTCTCGTCTCGTCTCGAGCCTTCTTTCGAGAGAAAATCGCCCTCTCGTCTCGTCAAGACGAGACGAGACGATATTCTTGAATCTCTCGTATCGGCGGCATCACTAGTTTTAGCCTAAAACTTTTAGATCATTTCCAGATTTAAAATAAAACAATTTTTTTTCAAAATTTATTATTAAATTACTAACATAGAGCCGATTAGGTTTTAAATGAACTATTCTGGAATTCATGATCAAAAATTTTCAAACACGTTTTTTAAGGTTTTAAACATTCCGGCGCTTTGATTGCAAAATCGCGATTATGATTATATGGGACACCCTTAGTAAATGTTTTTAATATACGTTTTAGATATAAATACTCGAGAAGGATACTCCTAGGACTATTTTTTTGTTGCCTAGGCGATGCATTTTTAATATGGCCCAATTATTTTGAAGTTGGCATGCTATGCTTTGCGATTGGCCATGTTCACTATATTTTTGCATTCGATTTTAAACCTCTTAATCTTAGATTAGGAGCTGTGGTTGGCAGTACTGGAGCCTTAGGTAAAAAATCGCATTTAAAATAAAATATTTATACATGTTTTTATAAATTTTAGCTATATCTTATTTACTGCCTGGATTAAACGGTGTTCTAGCAATTTGTGTGCCAATATACACTACAATCATTACTGTAATGACTTGGAGAAGCATTGCAAGAGTTCAATTTTTTGAGGTAAATATCAGAATAACTTTTTTAAGTATGCCTATGACCCCTATTAATTGACAGGTTTTTTTATAGTTTCCCACTAAATATTTGAATTTTTATCTCCCGGAAAAAAATTTTATATATATTTTTTTTAAATTTTTTAAATTATTTATTTATATTTAAGTTAAATAACGAAAACATGAACATAAAAAATATATAATAACCATAGGATTATATTTGTAAACTACTTTTTACGGGGTCAAGTAAAAAGAAATAGAAAAAATATCACATGTATTTATAACATTTAAAACTTTCGATCAAATGGGTCGAAGAAGGTGTTTCAAAAAAATCGACTTTTTCTTTTTCTTCAAATGGTCAGCAAATTCTTTCAGAGGATGTCAAAACAAAGACCTCGTTAAAATTTGAGCTTTTAATTTGAACATTTAAAGGTCGCGGATCGCAATTTTCTATTTCCCATTTAAATAACACAGGAATTTTTTTTTAACTTTGGAATTTTATACGTCTATATCGAATCAACTTATGGCAAGGAACATCTTAGATTTTTATAGTAAATTTAACGCTCTATAAAAAATGTCTCTTATAATTTTTCTATAGAATCAACTTATGGCAAGGAACATCTTAGATTTTTATAGTAAATTTAACGCTCTATAAAAAATGTCTCTTATAATTTTTCTATAAAAAAAAAAAAAGTTGAAAAAACGAGAAAATTCGATGGAAATCAAACTTTGGCCTCGAATAACTCTGGAAGAAATCAATTTATATATAAATTGATTTCTTCCAGAGTTATTCGAGGCCAAAGTTTGATTTCCATCGAATTTTCTCGTTTTTTCAACTTTTAGCATCATGTAGTAAAAAAATCACATATTTATATCTGAAAGATAGGAATTTATATCTGAAAGATAGGAATTCACTTAAGTGTTGTAAAAAAAAACAAAAAAACAAAAAACGTCACTTTTTTCCAAAGCCTTCTACAAAGTTTTAATGAAAATATGAGATGTGTATAATATGCAGAGTAATTTATATATAAATGCATTTTTCTCGAAAATGGTGCATCTGAGCAATTCAAATTAAGAGTATCTATTTTTCGTAAAAACTATAAATTCTCATAATTTCATAAAAAAAATTAAATTATTAACCCAGAAAAAAGTTGGGGCTATTTTTGTAACTTTGCCCCCTCCAAATGTTACGCCTATGATTAAATTTTAACAGTTTTGATCATAGATCTAGATTCAGCATGTCAAAATTACCAAAGTACCGAAAATTCATTTGTTCATGTTCAACCCTCTAGGAATAGTTTTAAAAAAATTATCCTCTTAGACTTCTATTCAGGGGGCCGTAGCTCCTTTAGGGAGCATTTTTTGATACATGTTTATTAAACAAAAAAAGTGTTATTTTTATACGAATAATGCACTGTTTAAGTTTGGCCCTCTAATTTCGGGACACCCGTATAATGATAATTGTACCATAAATGTTAAAAAAACGCGAAAATTCGATGGAAATCAAACTTTGGCCTCGAATAACTCTGGAAGGAATCAATTTATAGAAAAATGATAGGAGACCTTTTTTGTAGAGCGTTAAATTACTATGAAAATCTAAGATGATCCTTGACATAAGTTGATTCGATTCAGACGTATAAAATTTCAAAGTTAAAAAAAAAAATTCCCATGTTATTTAAATGGGAAATCCGAGACCTCTAAATCTTCAAATTAAAAGCTCAAATTTTGACGAGGTCTTTGTGTTGACATCCTTTGAAAGAATTTGCCGACCATTTGAAGAAAAAGAAAAAGTCGATTTTTTTTAAACACCCTAATATATGTATATATATATGTCATTAATTTCTTAGTTTTAAAATTATTTACTTAATTTTAAGGATTTGTGGACATGGAGCAAGCTTTGCAGTTGTGTTGGAGCGATATTTTTTGCAGTGTCCGATACTATTCTAGCCATTGATAAGTTTAGACATAACTTTGAATATGCCCAGGTAAGATTTTTAAGTATAAGAGGAATTTTACAAAAACCGGAATATTTTATTGTCCATTTCAAATGGGTATATACGGATATTGGCACATTAATATTATTATTTATTTTAATTAAAGGTTAAACACCACGGATGGACACAAAAACCCATTTTTGGATACAACATTTTTAAGTACTTATAATTTATAAAGGTACTACAAAGAGAAATATGTTTCCATTTCATTTTTTAAATATATGGATAGGAATTCGACACAGACAGTGTACAACTGATATTTATTCAATTATATCTAAAAATAATTAAAAATCAATGTATAGTAATTTCATACGCCTCAAATATTTATAAGAAAAAGTAAAGATTGGCCGCGCTTCCGCGTATAATGCCTAAACATACAGGGTGTCCCAGAACTCGCGCCACAGAGAAAAAGGGAACGTACCGAAAGTAATTTGAAACACATATTTAAAAATTCAAATTGTCCAACGCAAAGGATAAGGGAGATAAGAATAAAAAACGATAGCAAATCCCAATAGATCACCACAGGGAATTCTTTAAATTGCTAGGATACTTAGGTTGCATTGTTGATAATAAAAAATATGTAAAATATTTGGTCCACTGGAATCCAATTCATTGTAACACTGCTGTCAATCTTTACTCCTGTCATTAATATTATATTAGGTTATAAATTAAGTTATTATTGACAATGCTGTCAATCTTTACTTTTGTCATTAATATTGTATTAGGTAATAAATTAAGTTATTATAAATAATGTTTTCCTTGATGATTATAACGAAATGATAACTACCTATTTATGGGGAGCGTGGGCGCAAAAAAAGCTAAATAAAGTACAACTGGTTTGATTTTTTACTTTAAAACATTGGCGTTCTGAAGTATCAGTCATAGATTAATAACCTCATTTTTTGAAAGCTTTTGACAACTTAGTAAATACAGTTGGCCAAAAGATTTTTAAATGTTTTTAAGACAACAATGTTCTATCGTCTCCTAGCAATTTTTAAAGCTCCTACGTTTAACCTAGGCGAGATCTCTCGGTATTGGCTGCCGCTTTTTTGCTCTCATTCGATTACACTATTACCTAGAAATTTTTTATTTTTAAATTTGGCATCTCCATTGCTATCGGCACGCCCCCTTTTTCTCTATGGCGCGAGTTCTGGGACACCCTGTATATACAATGTATATATATATTATACATATTATACATGTATAATAATAATACATTGTAAGTTTATCTATACATGAATAATATAAGGTAAACGTCCCAATTATCGGCACCTTAAGGATTCTTAATGCGATTCTAAAAGTTTACTTGAACTAGGAGCTAGAAAGAGGTGCTTTATTTTATAATAATGTATAACTTTAGATGTTAGATGAATATTTATATTTATAAAAAATACATATTTCCCGGATACTAGATGCACTTATTATCGGCACCTTAAAATTTATGCATGCCCTAGTTTTCGGCACATGTGATACCCAATTATCGTCACAGCATAAATTGGCCAAAAATGATGGTTTACTGTTTTATTTATTTTAAATGCCATAAACCAAATAATAAAAAAACGTTAAATATCATCTGCTATTTATTTGAAAAAAGTGTTTAACCAGTTACAAAATATACCTAGAAATTCATCTTCGTCTTCCTCTGTTATACCAATGCATTCTTCGTGATAATATTTCAGACAGGATGAATAAAGACGCATGTCCAGCTTCTGTCATATAACGAATAGAATACCAAGATTCCTCCATAGATTTTGATATAGTAGGTTGGTTGTTGACAGTTTCTGAATATTTATTTTTAGTAACTTTTTCCGTCATGTAAGCTGCTTGTCTTGGCCTTTCTTTTTCTCAAACATTGGGAAACATCCTGCATAGGTTTTTTTCTTTTGTTTTCCTATTTCCTTTTTTCTTTTGTTTTCCTATTTACTTTTTTTTTGTCCTTTCTTCCTGTCGTTTTTTTAAAGCTCTTCTTCGTGTTGTTTCTTTTCTTCTTCTTTTTTATAGTATTGCTTCCATTGAAAAGAAGTTGCTACCGCGGGGACCTTTTCATTTGGTTTGCTTTTAAGGGTTTCTGTTTTAACTACGGGCCAAAATAATGTTTTTTTGAATAGTGTAGGAATGGAGAAAGATTCTGTCAATTCAATTTTATCAGAACAGACTGTTCAATCCTATTTGGTTGCAATATTTAATTCTGATAATGGGGAACGGTGTTGGATGAAATGGTTTTGGCTATTTTGTTCAAATTCATCAACTTTTATATCCACAGGGGGCAAATCAAGCATACTTATAGCTATGTCAGCAGCATCTGAATTTATAATGTCGATTAGTTTGGTAAGTATTAAGTGGATGTGAATGAGCTTTTAAAGCTCATTCACATCCACTTAATACGCGTAACTTAACTTAACGTACGAGAGAGACGTAAGTTGAAATACATTGAAACCAATGCAGCTGTTTACATTCGTAGAAAACTTATCACACGTAACTTAACGTATCCAAAAGTTGGGTCCGGCTCAATACGTTTCTTACGTGAGCCAATCACATGCCCAGTAAAACGATATAGCGCTATCTTGTTGTTTCACTTTTATAGATAGAGCCAATCACATTCCCAGTAAAACGATATAGCGCTATCTTGTTGTTTCACTTTTATAGATAGATAGGCAACCCAGTCTACATCGATGTCTACATTGCACGTGCTTGTATATTACGTTCTTTGCGTGTATTAAGTTAATGTAAACAGACCACTTAACAGACGTAGGTTTCTTAAGTTAAGTTAAGTTAAGTTACGCCTATTAAGTGGATGTGAATGAGCTTTAAGGGTGGGTTGTACCAGTCCGAGTTAACCCTAGATTATTTTTAATCCGCGATTAAGTGCTAAAATGCGTTGTACGAAGGTTAATCGAAGATTAACCGATGATTAACATAAAGATTATCGGTGAAATTTAACTCGCCAATTTTGGCAAGAGAAAATGCGGTTTCATCGCAATTAAATACTCGATTAGCATCAAAAGTTATTTCAAAATTCTAAATAAGTTCCGACTTCTTTAAACCATTGATTAATTCGACTTTCACTGAGACTCATGCCAGATTTTGAGAGATTCTTGCAGTTATCCTTGGATGCCACTTTCGACCAGGTCTTCCATCTTTAAAGTTATTGAGCCTTTTTAGTTCTTTAAGGAGCAGCTGTACACTGTCTAGTAATTGAGTTTTTGATGCAGGAGAGCCACAATCTAAGATTCTAAATAGGCGTTTTAAAGGGCATTCCTGCTTTAATAGCATCAATAGCTTCATTTAAAGTTTCCTTTGAATACCTACTGAATTCGCTTTTTTTCATTTTATTCTTACTTTAGTCTGAAAAAAATTGAGTTCCATTTACCGGCACCTACATGCTTCTATTATCGACATACTTTTTAAGAATAAATTTAAACAAGAAAATGGGGTGCCGAAAATTGGCCCTGTATATTCTTATTAATAATTGTATACAATGACAAAACAAGTACAGTTTGAGTTAAACATGCAAACTAAAATAGACCTAAATATATTGTAATGCGCATAACCGATTATCGGCACGTCTGCCGATAATTAGCTGAATTATTAATTTTAACACCCATTATCGGCACCCATGAAATAAATAAAACCATGTTATTTAAAAGGTTTACGATAAAAAAAATAAAAATATGTAACATTGAAAAATTTAATACAGTTTTCGTAAAAAACCCTGAACATTAGAAACAACAAGTTAAAACTTACCTGGATCCAGTGGCGTATTTAGGGGGGGTCCGCCGGGTCCGGACCCCCCCGGGCGCACATATTTTATTATTTTTATTACAAAAAAAGTTAAAAAAAATAAAAACCTCAAGACTGTCAACGTACTTTATTATTTATTAAAATTATTTAACCATAAAATCATTAAAATCAAAAATCAACTACTTACGTATTAAAGAGAAAGAGGTGGTTTGGCAACCCTGTAGGTATATCGTTCCTACCTCTTTCTCGTGTCGTTATGATCGAGGCGTAGAGATGAGCGATATTTCACGAACTGTGATTTTTTCACTGATATTTAAAAATCACGAATAACGACTGCTACTTACATCTGTTAATTAGCGTGATCTGTGATTTTTCACTGCACTTTAGAGATAAGCGATATTTCACGAATTGTGTTTTTTTCACTGAAATTAAAAAGTATTAAACAACGATAAAACCGTGAGTTGGTATTTATCACAATAATCTTTTTCACTGATATTAAAAAGTATTAAATGATAAAACCGTGAATTGCTATTTATCACAATAATTTAACATATTTATTATCATACCAAGTATTTTCGGCCGCAGGCAAATCTGTCATTACTGGCCTAATCATAAAAATTGAACGAAAAAATTGGAAATAGTTTAAATAGGGTTTTAAATGCCCGTAAGTATCAGGATAGCATAAAGTCGAATAGGTCTGACTCAGACTGCTTTTCCTTTTTCTATGGTACCAACTGTTTAAACCTAAAAACTATAAACATTTAAAATGTAGACAAAGCAAACATTTGAAAAAGCAATTATGGAGTTTAGGGATCTCAACTTACGTTTTTAAGTAATCAATTTTTATGTAAACGTAAGCAACAAAATATTACAAATAAAGCTGTTTTTATTAAAAATAGTTTCATTTATGTGTTGAAATAAAAATAAATACAAAAAAAATTAATATTTACCACGGTTAAATTGAACGAACACAATATAACGAGGTATAATGCGATTTCATCAATATCAGTTTAAAACCTGTGATCACGTCACGTTTAAAAATCACTGATATAAAAAAATCACAGTAACGAATATCAGTGTGACTTAAAAATCACGGTATCGCTCATCTCTATCGAGGCGCGAACAGAAATAGAACTATACCATGAATAGATAGCGCGTGCGTGAAAAAGAGTGGCGTCTCTTTCCTTATTATAATAAAGAAAAAGATGCCGCTCTTTTTCACGCACGCGCTATCCATTCATTGAATAGGT